GGGGGGGGAACACACTGGTGGGGGGGCTGGGGCAGTGGTGTAGTCTACATTTTTTTTTGTACTGGGTACACTGTGTTTAGAAACCAAAGTACACCGGTTAGTACAATGCCAATTTGTTTTGATTTTTAAGAATATTAAACATTTACAAATTTCTCTGACACTTCTATTTGGAAAAGTGTACAACAAACTTTGTACAAAAGTTAGCTTTGTATTAAAAATATATTAAAAAAATTATAAAACAGTATCAAAGCAAAACATGTTCAAGTATTAAGTATTAATTATACAATTGTTCGCTGGATAAGTGAATGTAAACAAGCACTGCATACATTTATACACACAAACACACACACATTATATATATATATATATATATATATATATATATATATATATATAATACAAACTGGATTCCAAAAAAGTTGGGACACTAAACAAATCGTGAATAAAAACTGAATGCAATGATGTAGAGATGGCAAATGTCAATATTTTATTCGTAATATAACATAGATGACAGATCAAAAGTTCAATCTGAGTAAATGTAACATTTTAAAGGAAAAATGTGTTGATTCAAAATTTCACAGTATCAACAAATCCCAAAAAAGTTGGGACAAGTAGCAATAAGTGGCTGGAAAAAGGAAATTGAGCATATAACGAACAGCTGGAAGACCAATTAACACTAATTAGGTCAATTGACAACATGATTGGGTATAAAAAGAGCTTCTCAGAGTGTCAGTGTCTCTCAGAAGCCAAGATGGTAAGAGGATCACCAATTCCACCATTGTTGCGCAGAAAGATAGTGCAGCAATACCAGAATGGTGTTACCCAGCGTAAAATAGCAAAGACTTTTAAGTTATCATCATCAACCGTGCATAACATCATCAAAAGATTCAGAGAATCTGGAACAATCGCTGTGCGTAAGGGTCAAGGCCGTAAAACTCTACTGGATGCTCGTGATCTCCGGGCCCTTAAACGTCACTGCACCTCAAACAGGAATGCCACTGTCAAGGAAATAACAGAATGGGCTCAGGAATACTTCCAGAAAGCATTGTCAGTGAACACAATCCACCGTGCCATCCGCCGTTGCCAGCTGAAACTCTACAGTGCAAAGAGGAAGCCATTTCTAAGCAAGCTCCACAAGCTCAGACGTTTGCACTGGGCCAGGGGTCATTTAAAATGGAGTGTGGCAAAATGGAAGACTGTTCTGTGGTCAGATGAGTCACGATTTGAAGTTCTTTATGGAACACTGGGACGCCATGTCATCCGGACCAGAGAGGACAAGGATAGCCCAAGTTGTTATCAACGCTCCGTTCAGAAGCCTGCATCACTGATGGTATGGGGTTGCATGAGCGCTTGTGGCATGGGCAGCTTGCATGTCTGGAAAGGCACCATTAATGCAGAGAACTATGTTCAGGTTCTAGAACAACATATGCTCCCATCTAGACGTCATCTCTTTCAGGGAAGACCCTGCATTTTTCAACACGATAATGCCAGACCACATTCTGCAGCAATCACAACATCATGGCTACGTAGGAGAAGGATCCGGGTACTGAAATGGCCAGCCTGCAGTCCAGATCTTTCACCTATAGAGAACATTTGGTGCATCATAAAGAGGAAGGTGCGACAAAGAAGGCCCAAGACGATTGAACAGTTAGAGGCCTGTATTAGACATGAATGGGAGAGCATTCCTATTTCTAAACTTGAGAAACTGGTCTCCTCTGTCCCCAGACGTCTGTTGAGTGTTGTAAGAAGAAGGGGGGATGCCACACAGTGGTAAAAATGGACTTGTCCCAACTTTTTTGGGATTTGTTGACGCCATGAAATTTGGAAACAACAGATTTTTCCGTTAAAATTATACATTCTCTCAGTTTAAACTTTTGATCTGTGATTTGTGTTCTATTCTGAATAAAATATTAGATGTTGGCACCTCCACATCATTGCATTCAGTTTTTATTCACAATTTGGTTAGTGTCCCAACTTTTTTGGAATCCGATTTGTATATATATACATATATACATACTGCATAGATTGTTTCGGAAACGTTTAAATGCTATTTAAGTATCAAAGACACGTGCCCAATTATATGTCATGCATCATTGGGCACTTTTAAAAGAGTATACTGAAATTCTTTAGCTTAGTGAGTACACTTCATATACCCATGTATCACGTAGACTACACCACTGGTCTGGGGGTCCTCCTCCAGAAGATTTTGAATAAAATAGATGCCATTTCCTGCATTCTGGTGTATTTTAATGGGTTGTTAAACATCTACGTTTACTAAGTAAACATTTGATCCAATAACTATTTTAGAGAGCGTGGCACAAGAAATAGTACCCACTGTGGGGGAGGGGGTACTTTTAGTGAGTATTTTCTTATTAATGGATTCGTTCAGGAAGAAATATAAGCTAGAGTGAACTAATATTTCATGATAACTGTGTGTGTGTGTGTGTGTGTGTGTGTGCGTGCGTGCGTGCGTGCGTGTGTGTGTGTGTGTGTAGTCAAAACAAACAAAAAAAATTTAATATGAGGGGGACATGTCCTCTTCACATATCATTGATGCAATGCCCATGGCATAAAGAGATATTTCAGCCATTTTGAAGTGGCGCATTTGGGAAAAGGTAATAAAGAATTAACATCTTGCCCAGTGATGGGCACAGTTCTGCTAATCTGCTAACAGCTAATAGCAGAACAAACTTTTCGTTGAGCAGATTAGTGTTTTCTCCAACTTTGGAAATTGTCAGTGGAATTACCGTCCTCTGGTTTTGCCAACATTAATTTCACTAACAAAATTCACAAGCTTGTTCCTGTCTTTTGTGGGCATGTCTCAAAATGTCCATTAGGCACGCTGTTGGCTTACATGTGCCAAGACGTGGTTGGTGGACGCAGCGTTGGCAAGCTCAAGGCACACTATAGGCTTCATACGTACACGTGCCAAGACGTGGTTGGTTGATGCAGTGTATCCTGCAGGTATCCTTTCAAAATTCTGACTGAAACTTACAGAAAAGCTACTATAAACAAAGTTAATAAGCTCAAGCATGCAACCCCACCCCCACTCAAACACACACACACACACACACACACACACACAATAAAATATTTGTCTCAAATGCACAAAAGTTTAAAGCATTTAAACAAAATTGAATAAATAGAGTTATCAGGTCAAAAAAGAGACATACAAATAAGGAATAGTCATTAATTTATGGATATTGGATTATATTAATGGGCAGTACAATGGCACAACTGGTAGAGCTGCTGCGTCTCAGCGAGCAGGTTCCCAGCTCAAACCCCGGTCCGGGTGCCCCTCATGGTGGAGCCTACATGTTCTCTCCGTGCATGCGTGGATTTTCCCCAGGTACTCCAGTTTCCTCCCACAGACCAAAAACATGCATCTTGTGGCAAGATGACGCCAGTGTGTTTGGCGAGTCGTCTACCGCTCTCTATTTTTCTGTTGTTATTGTTGTTTCTGTGCTGTTTTTCTGATGTGAACTCTCTACTGGTGTATGATTGACAAACCCTTTTGGGGCTTCGTCTGCCTACTGCAAAAGTCTTATATCGCTGTCATGAAAAGCATGATTCTTTGCCCCGCTGTTGGCCGGAGTTCCATCTTACCTGTGTCGGGCACCACACCCCCCTCGCCGGAGAAGGCGTCGCCGGCGTCGAGGTAAACGCGGCGGGCTCTTGTTGAGGCTGAGAACTGGTTTGGCAAAATCGCCGGGAATCTTCCTCTCCCAGCTTGGATTAGTTCCTGGACTGTATGTTTCTCGGCACTCCTTGGACCCTGTTGATTCCTGGCTGATACCTGTTATCGACACGGATCAACGCTTCTTTCCTCCACGTCTCACTCCTCCACATCTGCGCTGGTGAGGCGCCAACCTCGGAAATCTGCGACACCTTGCACGGATTACTCCTTCTTTTGCTTCGCCGGACCCAGTTCCCATCAGGATAGGTCTGGTAAACGCAAGATCTGTTGCAAACAAAACTTTAATCTTGAAGGATTTTTTTTCATCCCAGGGTTTGGACTTTCTCTGCTTGACTGAGACTTGGATTTCTCTGGGTGAGTCCAGTGTTTTTTCAGAACTATTACCCCAAGGTTGCTCATATTTTAATGCCCCAAGGTCCTTGGGTCGTGGAGGAGGTTTGACGATTATTTATAAATTAAGTTTTGACTGTAAGCAGCTGTCCCTCCCGACTGCATTTTCTACCTTTGAACTGAGCATGTTTGAGTTGGGCTGCGCTCCTCCGCTTCTGTGCGCCGTCATCTACCGGCCTCCCAAGTATAATAAGGACTTCATACAGGACTTTTCTGATTTCTTGGGTGATTTTATGTCCAAATATGAGCAAATTTTAATTCTTGGAGATTTTAATATTTACGTGTGTTGCACTGGAAAGCCGCTGGTGAAAGATTTCTTAGAAGTAGTGGATGCTTTTGGCCTCACTCAATCAGTGATGGGTCCAACCCATGAACGTACACACACCCTGGACCTTGTTTTATCTTATGGTTTATCTATTTTTAACTTGGAAATTGGTGATGCATTGTTTTCAGACCACATGCCTGTTTTATTTGATTTTATTCCTGTTTCTAAACCTGTTAAGTCATGTGCTCCTGCTCGATGCGCCGTGTTTTTAACTCGTCCTCTGCGGCCCATTTTTCCACTGTTTTTAATCGTTTAGAGTCACAGCTCTCTGTGTCTCTCAGCACTGAGGAGCTTTCCTTTATTTTGATTCATAATGC